AAAGGTGAACTAGGTCTTCACTTACTAAAATTTGGCACAAAGTCCCAAATCTATGCAATTTATCAATATATACGTATATATTAAACATATTTAAAACCTTGGTAAATACGAGGTGTGTTCAAAAAGTATGGCGAATTTTGAATTTTCGCGGGTTACGTGTAATCGAATTTCGATTTTTTTGTGGCGTTATGTTGGTACTCATGTCTGTCACTGATGCCGACAAGCTCGGCCATTTTGAATGTTCACTTAATTGTTGACAGCTGCTTTGCTTGCACGTGTTTTGGATGGTCTTCGATTTTTACCTATTCAAAAAAATGGATCAAAGAACCTGTATCAAATTTTGTGTGAAAAACGAAATTCAGTGCGCGGATGCATTCCGAATGTTGACTGCGCAATTTGCACGAAGCAATCCGCCAGAAACGCCCGGACTTGTGAAAGAACAAAAATTGGCTTTTGCACCACGATAACGCCCCTGCTCACACATCATTGCTTGTGCGCGACTTTTTGGCCAAAAACAACACACTAATGATGCCACAGCCACCGTATTCCCCAGATCTGGTCCCCTGTGACTTTTTCTTGTTCCCTAAACTGAAGAGGCCCATGAAAGGAAGACGTTACGCTGCGATTGACGAGATAAAGATAGCATCGAAGGAGGAACTGAACAAGATAAAAAAAATAATTTTTTAAGTGCTTCGAAGATTGGAAAAACCGTTGGCACAAGTGTATAATATCTCATGGGGATTACTTGAATAAATAAATAATTTTTTTGAAAAACACAAAATTCACGATATTTTTTGAACACACCTCGTATGTGATTATTTCGAAAAAGTCGATTCTACGATCATATCGTAATTTCTATTTCCTCTTTTAATTTGAATTTCTTACACATTGAAGTGAAAAAATATGCATGCAAATAAGGTGATATATATACAATATATGTATTATTAAGCAAATTTAAGAAAAAAATACTTTATTTTACTTTTTTGCAGTTGAATTACACTAATACATGAATCTCTTTCTCCTTATATTTATTGCCTACAATGGATATGCGTGCTCGTTGTGGACAAATTTTTCAACGAAATAGATCACGCGTAAAATGTTGAAAACTAAAAATTCAGAAAGTTTGAGAGAATTAAAAACGATTTTACCGGTAATATCAAAATATGTTTCAAAACAACAACGCACATATACTCGTACAATATTTACAAAGCCACACATTTTCGTAGACCTTGAACTGAACTTATAAAATAGCTTCTCCCAACAGATATTTAGGACCTAAAAACCGAGTCTCGACACCGGTGTATTGTATCTACGATTCCACGTTTGTTTTCTGCAAAATAGTATTCTCTTCAGGCGGTAGCCTAAACTTTGTTTAAGGTTTTACGCGAAAAAATGTTGGTTAGCTATAAAAATACAAATAGAGTGTGTTTTTTTGGACGTCTGATATCTGGTCGCATATTCCTTTTTTCGGGTCTTATTGACAACTGTACGTATCAAACTCAGTTTGGCTCGCCAATTCGTAATGAACCGACTTACTTTGGAAAAATGTTTGCCAATCTTGTAAATTTATTATATAAATAAATTTTTCGGTATGCTAGACGCATCGTGTTCTGGGCCCAAAAATAAGTAGGCATAAGTAGTAATTCGAGTAATCATGGATGAGTTTTGCACCACACTTATTCTAGTGTATAAAGTGTGTTCTCAGCGACGCCATACAGGGCGCACTGAAGACGCCACTGCTGCAGAGTAACGCAGACGATGTTGTTTTGCGGGTTTACAAAGTCAAACTCGTGCAAAAATGTAAGCCGAACGACCATCAACCGCGTTGCTCTTTCGTTGAATTGATCCAAAACGAGAGTTCAACTAATCTCGATTTACGCAGAACAGTTTTGTTTAGCGATGAAGCTCACTTTTCATTGAATAGGTAGTTTAATAACCAAAATGGACGCATACGGAGTGATGATAATCCACAAGCCAATGTTGAGACAACGTGTACATACTCAAAAAGTCACTGCTTAATGTCCAGCGAGAATCATTCATCCATATTTCTTCTAAACTGAGACATGTAACATTCAATGGGGAACGCCATAGAGCCGTGACTAAGGGGCACACCTAGTGTAATGACCTGAAAAATAGGTGATTTTTGGGAATTTTTATTAAAAAAAATCTTTATCAATTATTTCAAAATTTTAATTATATATAATATTTATACATGTTTCAAGAATGTACAGTGAAATTTTTGAAGAACAAAATTAAATATAGATATATATATATATATATATAAGTTAGATTTCCAACGACGGGATTCCGGGCTTCTCCCTGACTGAAATCTAAAAAAAAAAATTCGCTACTAGATAATATTGTTTGCACAACGACCTACGATAAAAAAAAAATTGAAAATCGACAATATGACGGCGTTCTAAAAAAAATTGTCGAATTTTACCCAAAACTTTGGTCGTTTTTGGCCTGCCAAAATTCGATTTTTTGATCAGTTCAAAAATCGATAGGTCATTGTACGGAGAACTATATATAGAACATGTCAAAAAAATTCGATCGAAAAGTGATCGGATAATGTGTTTTTGAGTAATCACTGCAGCAAATTCGGAAAATGCTGTTTCGAGAAAAACTCGTTTAAAGATAAAATGATCGTTTTCACTCGTAGCTAATGAGACTCTCCAGCTGCCGAGTGGCTGCTCTTTAAATTGCTATAACTCAAAAACTATTTGAGATATCGATTTGAAGTTTTAATATGTTATTTTTATAGGTGTAATCACCGAAATATGAAAACAAGATCGTTTTTTTTTTTGTTTTTTTTTTTTTTGAATTTCACTCAAGTCACACCCTTAATGACTTGTTAGTGAAGAATTGGAGACTTTTGAATTGAACGACCTTTGATTACAACAAGGCGAGGCCACACACCATACAGCTAGCGAAACAACATATTTGTTGATGGAAACTTTTAGTGAGCGCATTATCTCGCGTTGTGATTCTGTGGCGTGGCCTTTGAGATCATGCAATTTGATACCGCTATTATCATTAGTTATTCCTTTCTCCACAGAGAGTTTTGTTCATTCCAACAGCGAACAATTGTGCCTCCACGCGAAACTTAAGAAAAAATCACTTGCTTGCTTTGTGTGGATTAATTTTTAAAAGGTCTCCCTTTCATTACATCTCAAAAACATTCGGAGGAGCTAACAACGACCTGCCCAGGAACAATGTGATCGCCAAATATTTTTTTTTTTTATATTATGTATACACTGAAGCGATTATCGGCAGTGCGCCTCATCTAATTTGTGGTTTTGCATCTTGATGTTTTCCAACAAATGGAGGGACCGGATGATAGTTTGTTATGAGGAGCTTTTATTCGGAAATTTACTCGGTGTGATTGACATTCCCTGCCTAGGGGCGACCGCAATTAGAAAAAATTATTTTTTTTATCATAATTTTGGATGGCGGTCGAACCACAACTCGAATCCATTCGGCTATGGCGGCCACCACATTGCATATGTTGTATATTATTGGTAACTGGATCAGCTAAGTGGTCTCGAAAAGTTTTTTGCTTTACTCCGCTCGCTTCGCATAAAAACTCATTAGTCCCGCGGCGCTAAGGTCCTTCCTTGGCAATGAAAACACTAGCAGAGAGAACCGTCTAAATATTATTGAAATAGATGAAATATCGACTGATTATACGTGTACTGCAGGAAACTACTTATCCCAAGAAACATGATACTTTCTTCGCCTAGAGTCTGTTAATATTTGAAGAAAAAAACTTGAGAAAATACATTCGTATGACCCTTTAAGTAGTTCAACTAGCTTTCATTAAAAAGAAAACACATTTTTTAGTCTTTCGATTATAATTTTGTAATTGCAGCATAAGGTACATAGGACAGGGTTGTTTATAGAATAACACGTCGGGCAAATGTCCTCCAAAGCTTTCCATACGCATACGCACTCATTTGTCGGAGTTTTGCACCATCATTCAGCATAAATGGAGCTGAATTTAATTGATGCAAAGTTGAATCTCCTCCTTTAAAACACGGCTGGTGAAGGACTTGTTGCAAAGGACCTGTAATTTTAAATAATTCCATAAAAAAATTAGATTAACGTTAAGTCGCACAATCTAGGGAACCAATTCTGATCACCAAAACTGAGAGAGTACACGATCTGGTAAAGTCTCATACTGAAATTGCAGAGTTTCACGGTCAGTATGACACGTGGCACCGTCTTGTTGAAACCACTTATTGGCCACCGCAATGACATCTAACTTCCGCAAAAATAGCTGGGTTATCATATCGTGATATCGAGCACCAGTAACAGTCACTGTTGGAACTGCCTCATTTCCAAAGAAGTATGGCTTGAAAATACACCAAACACTCGAAAATCATATGTGAGTTCTTAGAACACCAAAAGCGGTAACTTTGGTGATTAAAAATTGAAAAACAAAGTGCCTAGAATGATTTATGCTCGAAAATCAACTTCAATTTGTTCTCTCTCTCTTCACTGTGTATGGTCAATAGGCTTCAGTTGCTGCGTTAATAGAATTTTTAAAGTTTGGAGAATTTCCAATCCTAGCACACAAGGTCACCAACACTCTCACGTCCTCCCTTTCGATATTGTCACTTGGCTTTCTTTGATATTGGATTGACTAATTTTTGGCCGACCGATCTCGTTCACCGGAATTTTCCCGATTAAGCTTTATTCAGTTGACGACCATTTTTTTAGAGCCTACACTGTTCGCTGGAGACTTCTTTTTTTTAGGGTTGCCAACTCTGCGCTTCATTAATCGCGGCGTTAGTTGTGGGACTCCCTTAGTAGGAAGAATAACAAAATGGTGCTCGAATAGCTTTAAACTAAGCAACCATTTAAGATCTTTCGATCTCAAACAGCCAGTGAGCTTAGCATTTCTTTTTGCATATAAATATTCAAAACAATCTCAAAACTAAACGATGTGCCTTTTTCTTTTTAAATTTTTTACTAAAAAAATAACTTTCACTTTTCAGCCGCTGAAATAGGACGTGCCGTTGAAGAGCTGGTGACCGTTATTACCGAAGAGATGATCGAGCAAACGCATAGCGAGGCAAGCGAACGGAACGAGTTGGACGGCGAAGATGATGATAGTGAAAGTGTGGCAACGGCGATAACTGCTAAAACAATCATAAAACCATTTACAACAACAACGAATACAAAAACCAACGTAACAACTACCACCAACAACACAACTGCAACGATAACAAAGTAAACAACAATTGCTATGATTATAAATGGAAAACAAAATGAAATGATGATATGTGAAGAAGAAGAAGAAAATGAATGTGGAGGAGGGAAAGAAAGTGAAATCCTAACGGTTAAATACTTAAAATGACTTTCCTGCTGCTGAGTGATAAAGGAAAAGCACGAAAATATATTATAACGAAGCTTAAGCATCGGATGAGCGTAAGAAGGAAAGCTGCCATCAATAAGATCATGTTTGTCTAGAGAAACGAAAGAGAATTGCAATTCTCAAAACTTTTGCAAGGCGAAATAAAAATAATCATTGCATATGCATTATGCATGCAGCTAATACAGTTCATACATACATATATACATAGTAGTGAATATTATTCCTACATATACATATATACGAGTATGCATCGTTGCAATACAACAAATTTACTGATTTAGATGAGCAAAGAGATAAGGCAAAAACTCAAACGATTCAATATTATTAAATTAAGTTGCAAACAAAATATGAAAATAAATAATTATCAGCATATATATGCATACATGCATCTACAAAATATCATGTAAACTTTATATATTATATATATACATATTTAAGCATAATGGCTGCATAGATAACCCAAAATATTGTAGTTTAGCATATTTAAGGCAGTTAGCAACAAAATTACTTAATACACATAAACACATACCTACATACTTAACTGTACGAGTATATGTATATTGAAAAGAGAATTGTTAAGGAGCGCAGAGATATTCGAAGAAAATTCAATTGTGATTAATCAAGTAGTTAATTAATTAAATTGAATTGTGCAAAGCGACGTGTAGCTGCAGATTTTTAAGCAAACGATTGTCGATATTTTTCCGAACAAATTTGCATGTGTGTATGTGTTACTTACTACTTATCAAATTAAGCAATGCAAAAGACATGTAAAACAAATGTGAAACAGGAAAATATTTCCCACAAAGAAGAGCAAAAACTGTAAAGAAGTCAAAATGGAAATGCTTTCAGCACAACAAATGTGTATATTTTTTTCACACACTTTTCTTTTGAAAAAAAAATTCACTGTTATATAATTTTTAGTTCATTTCTTTAAGAGTATAATCAAATAAAAAAATCAGCTTATTAAATATTTGATTTTAATTAAACTGGATTGAAAACATATCACGTCGTAAAAAGAATTAAATAATTAAAACAATTTCTAAAAAAATAGATTTTAACGGGAAAAAGAAAAAAAATTAATAAAAGAAACTGTTTCTTTAAACAACGCTGCAGTAAAATATTAAAAATAAATGCAAAGAAAATTAAAATTAATATGAAAAACATAAAAACAGAAATAAAAAAATATTATTAAAAATTGAAATATAAAATAAAAATAAAGCAAAAATGAGAAATACAAATAAATAATAAAACAAAGCAAACAAAAATAAAAATAGAAATAAAAAAAATCAAAAATAACGTATAAAAATAATAATAATACAGAAAAAAATAGAAATAGAAATTGAAAATAAAAATACAAATAAAGCAAAATAAAGAATTAAAATAAAGCAAAAATAATGGAAAAATAAAAAATCAAAAATGAAGAAAGAAACAATATTAAATTAAAGAAAAAATAAGAATAAAAATAGAAACATGAATAAAAATTAAGCAAAAAGAAAAAAATAAAAAAAATTAAAAATGAAAAAAAAAACAATAAAAATAAATTAAAGCAAAAATAAAAAATTACAAAGCAAAAATAAGAATAAAAATAGAAACAAGAATAAAAATAAAGCAAAGAAAATATAAATATGAAAAATAAATAAAAAGTACAAAAAAAAATAAAAGTAGAATTTAAACTAAAGCAACAATAATAATAAGAATAAAAACAAAATAAACCTGAAAATAAAGCAAAAATTAAAAATAAAAATAAAATTAAAAAAAAAATTAAAAAAGAAACAAAATTAAATTAAAGCAAAAATAAAAATAAATATGAAGCAAAAATAAGAATTAAAATAGAAACAAGAATAAAAATAAATCAAAATTAAACAAAAAATTAAAATAAAAAATTAAAAAAAAAAAACAATATTAAATTAAAGCAAAAATAAAAATAAATATGAAGCAAAAATAAGAATTAAATAGAAATAAGAATAAAAATAAATCAAATATTAAAAAAAAAATTAAAATAAAAAATGAAAAAAGAAACAAAATTAAATTAAAGCAAAAATAAAAATAAATATGAAGCAAAAATATTAATAAAATAGAAACAAGAATAAAAATAAATCAAAATTAAACAAAAAATTAAAATAAAAAATTAAAAAAAAAAAAAACAATATTAAATTAAAGCAAAAATAAAAATAAATATGAAGCAAAAATAAGAATTAAATAGAAATAAGAATAAAAATAAATCAAATATTAAAAAAAAAAATTAAAATAAAAAATGAAAAAAGAAACAAAATTAAATTAAAGCAAAAATAAAAATAAATATGAAGCAAAAATATTAATAAAAATAGAAACAAGAATAAAAATAAAGCAAAATTAAAAAATTAAAAAATTAAAAAACTTAAATTAAAAATGAAAAAGAAACAATATTAAATTATAGCAAAAATAAAAAAAAATACAAAGCAAAAATAAGGATAAAAATAGAAACAAGAATAAAAATAGAAACAAGAATAAAAATAAAGCAAAAATAAAAATAAAAACAAAAAATTAAAAATTAACAAAAATAAATTAAAGCAAAAATATAAATAAATATACAGCAAAAATAAGATTTGATTTAAATAAAACAAAAATAAAAATAAAAATAAAAATTAAAGTAAAGCAAAAATAGAGATAATAATAATACAAAGAAAAAACATTTAAAAATTAAAATAAAACTAAAAATAAAATAAAAAATGAAAAAAAGTAAAAGTTGAAAAAGGAAGATTTAAAAAAAAACAAAAATAAAAATTAAAATTGAAATAAAGCAAAAATTAAAATAATAGTAATACAAAAAAAAGAAAATAAGAATAACAAAAATAAAAAAAGAAAAAAAGAAAAAAAAATAAAAAATTATAAAAATAAAACAAAAATAAAAATAAAAAACAAAAATAAAATAAAAAATACATTTTAACGAAATATCACTTGTAAAAATAGACTTGTAAGAAAGAATAATAGAATAGAAAGAAAGATAACTTAAAGAAAAAAATTAATTAATCTAAAAAAACGTTTCTTTTAGCAATGTAGCAGTAAAAAAAAGAATAAATTAAAAATAATAAAAATAGAATTAAAAACAAAAATTAAAAATAAAAAAAAAAAATTAAAAATAAAATACTAAAATAAAGCAAAACAAATAAAAATTATATATACAAAACAAAACAAAAATTATATATATAAAATGAAAATAAAGCAAATGAATAATAACAATCAAATAAAAAACGGCATATTTTATAAAAAAAAAAAAGATTTAATGCAAGTTACAATATTAAATAGGAAAAAACACGATTTATCTATAAATTAAGCGCTCTTTGTAATGCTTTGTAATTTTATATATGTATGTATAAATGATATACCATAATAGATTTTTTATAAATAATTAACTAAGTGAAAAAATTTTGTAAATTTAAATTGAAAGCTTACCAGCGAGTTTAATGAAGTTGAAGCGAATGTAACTTAAATACTTTTAAAATCGATAATTTCTTAAATTTAAACATTTTCCAACTCCACTGCTTAAAGTTGAGTATGCATTATTTATGCCGCAAATAAATTGTAAAATAGCGGTTTATATTATTAATTGTGTTTAATTTTTTGTTTATAAAAAACAAAAGCATACATTACCGCTCAGATAATCATACTACTTTTGTTGTCTTCTTCTTTCATATTTTTCGTGGCGAAATTCTATTGTATTGTTTTGTTGTTTGTACTATTTTACTTCAAAAGCACTTTCGTTTTTTTCCAGAACTTTTCCAAATATTATTTTAATTTTATTGTAAATTTTATTACTTTTAATTGAAAACAATTTTTGAATTTTGTATGCAAAGCAATTATAAGTTTAAGTTATAAATTACGTTTTAGTTATCACTTAAATTTTAAAGTTTCCTTTGCTTTTAAAAGTTTCAAATAAAAAATGGTGTGTTTTCATATATAATGATTTTATGTAGTTCAACAGTCTTTTTATTTATTTATTTGCAATTCTAAGAATTTGAATTTCAATGAATTTTTTTTTTTTTTTTTTTGGTGATTTACTGCACGCTAAGCCGAGAACAAATGTAGGTAATAAAATAAGCAAATCATAGAATTAAAAGATAATAAGTTTTGGCTGGTGGCAAGGATTGCTGTAGAAAAAAACAAAAACACAATAACCGCAGACACGGTGCTCAGTTCCAAATCCTGTTACCAACAACATCCAAAAGTTATCGAAAACTAATTTAAATAAAAAAATTAAGCTAAATTTTCTAATTGCGTTCGGCCCTCGGCAGGGAGTGTCAACCCTTCCGAATGTATTTCGGTCATGATATAAGGCTCCTCACAAAGAACCATCGGCTGTTCGGCGGCGGCTTAGTATAAACATTAATACGCAAAACAACAAATTGGTGGAGGAGCTCGGTCGAAACCCGCTTCAACCGCTTAAGCGTTAATCATATATATAAACCAACTTTTGTTGTAAAAAAAAACTTAAAAGTTAACCAAAGAACAGAGAAAATTCAAATTTAATTCTTTCGCATTTATTTTTTGTAGATTATCTCTTTCAAATGTTGACCGCGGCTACATCTCAGACGGTCCATCCGTTGAAACCTATTTTCGATGACTCGTTCGAGCATTTCGACTGGTTACTGGCGAATGACACGCCTGATGTTTTGTTCCAAGGCCTGAACCAAAGCGAGATTATTTATATCTACAGGAAAAATGTCTAACAGTGTGATATCACACAATCTTGGCGGCCAGCCCAAAAGTGGCGCCGTTTTGCCGAAACCAAATGTCGCCGAGATGACGAGCTTCAATTTCAGGCATCAAATAGTCGGTTATTATGGCGCGATAACATTCGCTATTGACAGTTACGTTTTTACTTCCATAAATTTTGAAGAAATATAGACCGATGATTACACCGGCCCACAAACCACACCAAACCGTTTCTTCCATTTTCTGAATGAAATGGCAGCTCTTGAATCTCTTCAGATTGCGCTCCGTCCCAAATGCGACATTTTCGCTTGTTTACATATCTATTGAGCCAGAAATAAGCCTCATCGCTGAACGAAATTTGGCTCGAAAACGTCTTATCTTCTTGGAACTTTTCAAAAGCCCGTAAAGCGAGGTGATGTTACTTGGGAAGGTCAAGCGGCGTCAGCTCTTTCACAAGCTGCATTTTGTATGCTTTCAACTTAAGATCTCAACTTTAAATGCGCCAAGTCGTTCCATACATCAGTCCGTGTTGCTGCAAACGGCGCCGAATCGGCTCTGCACGGTCTTCGTGTACACCCTCAGCTACGGCCGCTATATTTTCTTCACCGCGTGCTGGACGTGGTCGATTCGGATGATGGTGTTGCGAACAGTACGCTCAGTAGGCAGATTATGTTGACCATAAGTAAGAACGTGAATTTTCGTAATGAAGTCTTTCACTGATAAAATGTCCAACAACATTAACCAAATAACATGACAGCTTAACACGGCTCACGTTGGATGTGTCAGAAGAAGCTATTGAATGAATATCTATATGTATAAATATAATTAATATCTGACGTGCCCTGATATACTAGGTCGCCACAAAAGAAACCGGCGATTTTTTAAAAGAAAGTAAATACATTTTTCTTTAATTTTATAATGAACTTTTATCAATTATGTAATTTCCATTTTGTTGGATCACTTTTCACCATCTTTACGGCAATATCATTATTCCACGCTCATATAACTTCTTGCCTTTGTCTGCAAAAAACTGAACCAAGTGCGATTTTATAGCCTCATCATTGCCGAAAGTTTTACCATTTAAGCAGTTCTGCAAAGATCGAAATAAATGGTAGTCTGATGGTGCAAGGTCAGGGCTATATGGTGGATGCATCAAAAGTTCCCAGCCAAGCTCAGTCAGTTTTTGGCGAGTGACCAAAGTTGGTGCGGTCTAGTGTTGTCCTGGTGAAATATGACACCTTTACGATTGACCAATTCTGGTCGCTTCTCCTTGATGGCTGTTTTCAATTTTTCCAATTGTTGACAGTAAACATCCGAATTAATCGTTTGGTTCCTTGGAAGCAGCTCAAAATATACGACACCCTTCCAATCCCACCAAACAGACAGCATAACCTTCTTTTGGTGGATATCAGCCTTTGAAGTGGTTTGAGCTGGTTCACCAT